GCAGCCCAGCTTTGCCTGAAGCTCGTCATCCTCCTGCCTCAGCCTCCTGAACGCTGTGATTCTAGGTATGCACTGAGGTGCTGATTCACCTTAGGTTCAGCAGGGCTGAATACAGATCTGAAGAATTCAGGACACGGAGGCCAGGCCAATGCTTGCTCTAAGCTCTGGGTCCATGGGCAGATGTTTCTCAGGGCTGGCTTTGGAATGAGCTTGGAAAACTCTGGATGCAGACATCTTCTCAAACTAGACTCTAACCCCCTGGCCTGAACATCTCAGGTGTGGCTACCAGTCCTTGTCCACCAACCCTGTGACTCCGGGCCCCTTCCTTAGGCCATGGAGGCAGTGGGATGCAGCTGTATTCCACTCGACACCTGAGAAATGTCTTGTGTCATTCCAAGCTTCGTGAAAGCCAGAGAAATCAGTGACATAAGCCAAGGCTTGTGGTGACTGCCTCGCAGTCACCAGCCCGTTCAGTGCCTGGGACACTTTTAGACACCCAGGGCTTTATTGTCCTGTCACTCATGTCCCCGATCCCTGACCACCCCACTGAGGTGGGCTCCTTTCTCCATCAAGAAGTTTCATCTTGTCTTCTCGTCTGCTCTTATCTCCACCCATCTGTGTCCCCCCTCACTGGGTCTGTGTGGCCACCCTGGCTGCCCTGGAGCTAGCTCTGTAGGCTAGGCTGGCCTCCAACTCAGAGATCTTCCTGCTTCTGCTTCCCAAGTGCTGGGATTAAAGGCGTGTGCCACCATACTGTGGCTCAAGCTAACTTTTTGTCTTGTGCGTTCTGAAGACAGGAAGAGGAGGTCCAGAAAGAAGTCACTCATCCAAAGGCACATAGCTCAGAAGAGCAGTTCTCTGTCAGGATCTATGAGGGGGGGTGTCTGGGTTTGGGCTCCAAGTGGCCACTGACCGTGTAGAAGACTGAAGTGGGTGTTGTCACAGACTCTCCACATTGTCAGAGCGAATTACTTCTAGTTGATTGGAAGGTGGGGGTTGGCTCGTGGAATGGAGGACACGGTGATGAGATCAAGGGCGCTGGTTGCCAGGTCCAGTCACTAGGGGAATGTGAACATCAACAGGCCTTTGCTGCGAGACAGTGATGAATGTGCTGGGTCCCAGCCTTGGTTGAAGGGCAAACCGAGACCAGGCCCCTGGAAGAGTATAGGTGGGTGTTGGGAGAGTCAGAAGTCACTGCTAGGACAGAGGAGCTGGGCTGGGGACGACCCTGGCCCGGGCGAAGGCCAGGGCATTTGCAAGGCCTCTGAATGCTAGCAGTCTCTAGTGACCTGTTTTGCCTTGCAGGACACCATGCAGGCTAGAGGAAGCCTGTCTCCTGGGACCCAGTTCTGCAGGTTCCCTGGGTCAGAGTTTGGGGCTGGAGAGCAATGCGGGGTGGGGTGGGGGTGGCAGCTGTAAATGTTTGAATCAGACTCCGTTCTTTCTTAGCTTTGTGACCTCAGACAGTTGGCATGGTCTCTTTGAGCCTCAGTGTAAACAGGAGCAGGGGTGCTGATCCAAGAGACTGTGGGGTCCATGGTAAGTTGTGACTCCGGGAATAATGGTGCCTCACACTAGAGAAGGGTAACCACGTCTGCACCCCAGTGGGCAGGCCCTGGGTGACATGTCCAAAGGGATGGATACTAAAAGCATCCCAAGTCCCTAGTTGAGAGCGAGGAATAAATTTTCTTTATTTACTTTGTGTGTGTGTATGTGTGAGTGTGCACGCACACACGTGCGAGTGCACATGCACGTGGGTCCAGAAAGCATCTTCTAAGAATTGGTTTTCTCTTTCTACCAAGCGGGTCTGGGGCGTGAACTCGGGTCATTAGGCTTGAGCAGCAAGCACCTTTGCTGCTGAGCCAAATCACTCACCCTGATTTTAGTTTTAATAGAGAAACAAGCCATATAACTCTCAAAGGATTTTCCTTCTTGGCTCTTAAAAAAATCTAACATCTTCATTTCCATGCCCCCCTTTTAAGCTAATTTGTGGAAAATTAAATCGGGGAACTCACAGCGGCTGGCATTTTAATTGGCTCATGTCTGGCTTCTTTCTCGGATCCTCTGATTAGCTGAGCTGCCTCCATTAAACGCTCCATGCTCCACTTAGCCTGGTTTCTGGTCCCTCCCCAGGCCTGGACAGCAAGGCCACCAACCCTGCTGACTCCCTGCCTGGTCCTGCAGCTCCGAAGGCCTCAAGCAGAGTTTTTGACCCAGGCCGCCTGGGCCTGTTTCCTCAGCTGGGAACGGGATTCATCTGGGTCTGTGTCCAGTGCCCATGGTGGGGCTCCCACAAGGTGGGAAGAAGGGTCTCCCCATTGTCTCTCAGCTATGCGTTTCCTAATGTCCATCGACCACCAGGGTCTGGTTAGAGAGCAAGTTCCAGGACAGCCTCCAAAGCCACGGAGAAACCCTGTCTCAAAAAAACCAACAAACAAAACAAAACAAAACAAAAAAACAAAACCTGCATGGTAGAAGGAACAGGAGGACCCCCGGAGCTCACTGGCCAGCCAGCAACAAGTTCCAGATGCCAATGAGAGAACTTGCCTCAAAGTTCACAAGTTGGTGAGGCTTTGGAGATACCTCAGTGGATAAAGGGCTCACTGGGCAAGTGTAAGGGTTAGGGAGTCCTGAGGAATGACACCCAAGATTGGCCTCTGGCCTCCCCACACATGTGCACACACACACACACACACACACACACACACGTATGCACCCGCAGGCACATGCACACATGCAGGCATATGTCCCAGGCTTTGCATAGCTGTGCAGTGCTTCCTATGTGCCACTTCCTATGAGATGCTACCTATAGCGTCTTGCTTTAACCCCATTGACAACCCAGGAGGAAGACACTAACATCTTCCCATTTGGTAGATGAAGAAACTGAGGCTCAAAGAGGCGCAAGTAACTTGCCCAAGGCCACACAATTCCATAGAGCCTGAATTAGGTGATTTCTCCCACAAAGCTTCCTCAACTCAGCCCGTTTTCCAGCATCGACCACATTTCCCCTCACCCTGGAGTCTTCATGTGTCCCCTGGGGACTCAGGCAATAGGCCCCCACTTCCTCCCAGCCCTGGTAGCCTGCCCAGCGTGTGTGAGGGCCCAGCAGGTGAAGACTGAGTGGGCGAGAGGGGCCAGCACACCCAGTGCTCTCTCCTCCGCCCTGTGGGGGGCCTCAATCAGCACTAATCAGGCACTGCTAATTACCCTGTCCGTGGGGAGGTGAGTACGCGTGCCAAGAGCGAACGCTGAACAGCGGCAGTGGGGCGCGTGAGGACCAGGTCTTCCAGCCCTGGGTCAGCTCAGTGGGGCCTGGTGCTGGCTTCTTCCTTCCCCTCACTTCTGCAGATGCAGCAGGCCTCTCCGAAGCTAGGGACATAGTGTCTGGGCTCATCCAGTGGCCTGGTTTCAAGCGTGGCTGTCAGGTTACAATGTACTTGACTCCCATTTTCTTTCTCACCTCTTAAATGGAGGAAGCAGGACTGACGGGCGTGATGAGGACAGTCATGGAAGGGTTGCATCTGGTAATGGAACAGGTCCTGGTATACAGCAAGTGCTCAATAAAGGCAGCCTCTGGGGGCCCCTTGTGCTTACAGTACCTCATTTGACCCTCAGCACTGTAAAGATGAGGGAGGCATTGTGACAGGTGGGGGAGGGGCGCACGTGCCCAGTGCGTGCTCCCGCCATCTCGGTTCCTCCTACCTCAGCTTGCTTCAAGTGTGTCACCAACACGCACACGTCACTGCTGCCATTCGGGGCCGGAGCGCTATGCACTGAATTCCCCCTCTCAGGGCTTCCTTCTGGAGGGAGGAAGGCTTCCCCATCCCCTGTGGTAGCTGGGGAGGACGTAAGGGAGCCCCAACTAATGGCAATCCTTGGGGTTTGGGTGCCTAATGACCCCTTTCTCATAAATCTCGCATGTAAATTTCTTTCATAATTACACTGAAAGCTATCAAACTATCTAATTTAATTTCTTTGCGAAAATAAATAGCTAACGTGGCCCCAGGTACCACATAAATCCCTCAGGCAGAATGGGCCGAGATTGCAGCAGGGCAGGCCTGACTGGCCACAGCTCATACTTAATAAGCACATATTTATTGGGCTGGGCCCCCTGGAACCTGCTGACTCAGTGGAAGGAACAAAGTCATCTGCACCGGTGCTAATGTGGGGGGGAGGGGGCAGGAGATGAGGGAGACTGTGACGGGCAATTAATTATCCGTCTCCGTACATCCATAAGTTCATTTTATTAAGCAAATATGCAAATACACATTTTGATGGACTGCCTGTGCCTGGCCCACCTCCCCAATGACTAGTATGTGGGGCTTAGGCCCTGGGGAGGCCTGGGGATGACGCCCAGTGTGGCCTGGCCAGCTTTGCTGTCTCCTTCTCACTCCCTTCCCCTCAGACCCAGGGTCTTTGCTGTGCTCTGCCTACTCAGGGCCAGTGGTTGGGACCTTCCTAACCCTGTGCCTCAGCGTCCTTGACCTGCCAGGGCTCAGGCTCAGGCTCAGGCTCCCTTCTCTTGTGCTGGGTTCTGGCTGCCCCTCCAACTTGGTCCCCCGTCTTTCTTACTCTTGGCTGGTATGCCCCAGACACACTAGACTTCAGTCAAGCTCCCTGTACCTCAGGTCCCCGTACCCGCTGTTTAGACTGCTGTGTTCCCTCAGGCAGCTCTCTCTCTCACTCACCTGCCTGCCTGCCTTTTCATTTTTTCTTTTTCTCTCTTACCCACTTTCTCTCGTCTCCCTTCTCGTTCCCCTCTATTTCATCCCCTCCCTTTCTCACTTCTTTATTTCCTCTTTAAAACTACATTTGTAGCTGGGTGGTGGTGGCAGCAGCGGCGGTGGTGGCGCACGCCTTTAATCCCAGCACTCGGGAGGTAGAGGCAGGCGGATCTCTGTGAGTTCGAGGCCAGCCTGGTCTACAGAGCAAGTTCCAGGACAGGCTCCAAAGCTACACAGAGAAACCCTATCTGGAAAAAAAACCAAACCAAACCAAACCAGAAAAAACCATGTTATTTATTGGTGTGTGCTTATGCCAGTGCTTGCGGAAGTCAGAGGACAACTGGTAGGAGCTGGTTTTCTCCTTCTGCCGTGCTTTCGAGTTCTGGGAACTGAGCTCAGGTTTTCCAGCTGTCAACAAGTGACCCTGACCTGTTGAGATATTTCAACAATTCTCTTTGTTTTTGAGACAGTCTCACCCTGTAACCCAGGCTGGCCTAGAACTCACTATGTGGCCCAGGCTGACTTCAAACTCATGGCAATCCTCCTGTCTCAGTCTTCCAAGTGCTAAGGTTACAGGTGTGAGCACCTGTGTCTGGCTTGGCCAGCACTGTCTTTGCTCCCAGGTTTAAAATCAGTGCCACCTACCCCGCCACCCTGTTGAACACACCCCTTCTGCTTCGTCGCCATGTGGCTCCACTGTGTATTTCACCAATGACTCTGATCATTTGTTTTTATTTATTATCTTTCGGGCCTATTTTCTCTCCCTCTAGAATACAACTTTCCAGGGTTAACAGCTCTGTGGCTCTTACTGCAGCCTCTCCCAGTCCCTGGCACAGCACCCACAGCAGGCAAATCCACGTTACATGACCAGAGGGAAAGCCTTCTCGCACCTACTCAACTGCTGCAGCCCGTCTTCTGTTCCCTACCCTGCTCAGGCTATTCTTTCAAGACGACAGATCTTGCTGCATACAACCTCCCATGGCTCCCTAGTTCTTTAGGGTAGTAGCATTACTGCCTACAGTATTCTGTGGCTCCCTACTTCTTTGGGGTAGTAGCGTTACTGCCTACAGTATCCTGTGGCTTCCTAGTTCTTTAGGATAATAGCATTACTGCCTACAGTATCCTGTGGCTCCCTAGTTCTTTGGGGTAGTAGCATTACTGCCTACAGTATCCTGTGGCTTCCTAGTTCTTTGGGGTAGTAGCGTTACTGCCTACAGTATCCTGTGGCTCCCTAGTTCTTTGGGAGAGCATCTACTTCTCTTCGTGCCCACTTTTACTGCCCAGCTCTGACGTCCTCTAAAGCCTTCCCCATTGTCCCGGTTCCTCTGTGCTCCTTCCCCGAGAGCGCTTGTGAGTCTTGCACAGATTGCCCGGCTTGCCTCGTTCCCTTCGCTTGGTCTGTCCTACCTTGTCTTCTGAGTCTCCAGTCAGGTCTCACCTCCTCCAGGGAGGCTACCAGCCTCCCCTGTGCCTTCCTTCCGGTGCTGTGGTGTGCTCTGGCTTACCAGCCCCCAGGCGTCCTGCTTCCCTTCCGGATGGGGAGTGGCAGAGGTGGCAGCAACCCTGGCTGGGGTCAGGTCAGATTCTGGGTGGATGATATCCCAGGACTACCTGTATGTATGCCAGTTTAACTGTTGCCCGACCGAGATGGCCCTAGGGGTGGCGGCTTCTGGGACTCCCCTCTGTGCAGACTTTTTGGAGCTGCTTGGCATCTTGAACCTGGTGAAGACAACCCAGAGGTCCAGAAGGAGCCATGGGACGCTGCCCGAGACCGGGCTGTACAGTGGCCGTGGTTCCTCCGGGGAGCTTGCCATTTGTTCTCAATGAAGGCAGCTGGTACCCTCTGGGGAGATCCGGACTCATGACTCCTTCACGGCTGTGCATCGTCACGAGGGCCTCTGTGTTCAGCCCGACACATCTCACTTCACTCTCTAGCCTCCCTTTGAGGTTTGTATTGTCTAATAAGTGCAGAAATCTGGATTCAGAAAGGGTAAGTTACTTGCCCAAAGTCAAACAGCTAGAAGTGGTTCAAGCTATGAATTCAGGCATGCCAGGCTTTGGTCAGGCAACGAAGAAAGGCACCCATCGAGGGGCTTGGGAGGGCGTGGTTTAGGGAAGACTGAGTTGCCAGGGTGTCCAGGATAGCTGCCCACGACCCTCTCTCTCCTTCTGCCTTTAATGGAGAGGGCGGGAGTGGCAGCTGGAGCCAGCAGGGAGAGCTGCCCATTAGCCCTAATTAGCAGCCCGTCTGGAAAAGCGCTTGGGCTGAAATCAAGACTCTGTCAGTGGGTCCCAGCTGGGTTGTAGCTGAGTGGCAGCTGCAGCATTTCCAGCATCTGAGCCTGAAGCGCCAGCCAGGGGGCCCTTGAGGCCCGCTTCACCTGGACCCAGCAGCCTGGGAGGGGTGACTGGTCCCTCCCCAGCCTGACAGCAACCACCGAGACCCCATGTCACCCAAATGAGCAGAGCTCACAAGCCTTGGTTATCCCCACGGGTCCTCCTGCAGCCCGAGCAGACTGCACCTCCTGACCCATTTTGCAGAAGAGGCAGGAACCAAAGAGCTTAAGGGGTGTGTTCAAGACCCACAATTAGGATGTGCCAGGACTGGGGGACCCTGTGAGACACTGACCGGGGTTCAAGGCAGGAAGTAGGAAGGGGACAGTAAGACCCTGAATAAGGCTTAGTGAGTCTCAAGAGGGTGTGTGTGTGTGTGTGTGTGTGTGTGTGTGTGTGTGTGTGTGTGTCTCAAGGCCCCAAGATACCATCATCCCAGCAGGACATAGGCCTCCTGATATTTTCATTGCATAGGCAGACAAGCTCTGTGGCAGAGGTGGGCTGGTCAGGAGGGGGGATGGGGTGAGCAGGAACACTGGGTGTCAGGGAGGACTCACCTACTTCTCCATCTCTCTTGCTTTCTCAAAGCACGAAGGACAAACTGGGATTTACAATCAACTGAAAAGAGTCATCCCCCCCCCCCCCCGACACACACACACAAGGCTGCTTTCTGAGAAACCCGTGGTTGTGATCTGTGCAGCCTACTCTGTGGGTTGCTGAGGCCGTGGGTGGATGAGGGTGAGAGGGTGGACCGTGACCGTTGCTGCTGTTGTCCATAATGATAACGGACGAGGTGCTGGGAGCTGAGATGCTTCAGGTCCTTGCTGGGTGCCTTGCAGAGATTAGCTTGTTAACCCTGGCAATTAACCTTGCCAGGTGGGTGTGGAGCTGTCCTGCTCTCCGTGCTGAAGTAGACCCGGCAATGAAGGGGCTAGTGAGGGTTTCAGAGGGGGTGGGATGAGGTGGGCTGTCAAGACTTCAAATCAGAACCCGTGAGCCGCTCGTTAAGCAGTGAGGGGGGGCAACCAGCTTGGAGTTCTCCACTCTTACTTCAGATTACGCCTCATAGCTCTGCCTAGGAAGCTTCTAGAACACGGAGGAGATCAGGTGGGTAGGAAGGGCAGCTACCTGGAAGGAGTCTGGCCTTAAAAGGAGGGGACCACTGTTACCTGTGGCAATCCCGGGGCTTATGCAAAGTTCCTCGCTGTGAGGCCTTCTCATCTTCCTAGACCCAGACTAGCAGTGGGCAAAGTCCCTCTCAAGGTACAGACCTCACCCGTTCTATCCTTAAAGTTTTACTAGAACACAGCCACATCCACTCACGTACTCGCTGTCTGTGACTGGCTGTGTTCACACACAGTGGCATGGATGGTGGATACCAGATGCCTGGCCTTCAGAGCCCCAAATATCTACTCTTGGGTCCTATGTAGGAAAAGCATGTTGATCCTGTCTGAGGTAATGTGGTCCTTGCCATTCAGATGCCGGAATTCTACAGTACCAGGGCTCGGTGTATCCACAGAGATCATCTGTTCATCTCAGTCACAGGGCAGGGAAGACAGCCACTCAAGGACACACAGCGAGGGATGAAAGAATCAGACTGGCTCAGTGAGCACAGGGTAGCTGTGCAAGCATGTGGATTGAGGTCAGTCCACACACCTGTGACCCCAGCGCTGGGGACGCAGAGGCAGGAGGACCCTGGAGCTCAAAGGTGTGTGAGACCTGCAAGATTGCTCTATGGTAAAGGTGAGTGCCTCCAAGCTTGATGATCTGAGTGGGAGGAGAGAAGCAACTGACTTCCACATGCTCAATGTGGCACATGCTCCAACCCCAACCAAATAAATAGGTAAGTAATGTAAAATAAGATGGAGAATGATGGAGGAAGATAGCCAACATCTCTCGCCTGTACAAATACACAATCCATCCCCACCCCATACAGATACACACACACACACACACACACACACACACACACACACACACACTAAAGTGAAGGAATCCAAAGCACACTCCTCAACTCTTGGCGACCGAGATGCAGTGACCAGGTGTTTTAGCCCTGGGGACACCTGGCCGTTGTCCTCCCTGTGAGGTCCTCCACAGATGTGTTTCACACAGGTGAACACCTTTGGCAGGCTGCCCTGCCAACCAAGCCTTAATGGCTGCGCTTTACCTGTGTGGGCTTACATCATGCCTCTTCCAACCGATTTCTGCACTTACGGCTGCTGTAAGCTTTGCTTTCAAAATAAAATTAGGATAAAAAGAAGTCTTCTGGAAGAAGAAAACACAAGTAAATAACAGTCCAAGTGCTGCTTGCAGATGACAACGTCATAAATATGGTATCTGAGTGGCTGAGACGGGGCATCGATTCAATCACATTTTCAGAGCTAAGGCTCTGGGCACTGGGGTTTAAGGGCAGAACACGATCTTAGAGCTAGGGTTGCTATGATGGTGGTGTGGACTGGGAAACCAAGGCTCGGGGCCTCCCTGGCTTAAGAGTCACTTTTAAATTTGGGCAATGGGCCCAGAGGCTCTGAAGCCCCACCTTTATCCCTGTCATTTTCACACTGAGGTTACATCCCTCAGGCCTGGGACTTCTCTGAGGTGGCCAACTGACTCTCAGAGGTCAGAGGTTACAGATATGGGGTCTTGCTCCCTGCTACTTCTGTGGTCACCCCATCTGCAGGGCAGCTGTTTCTAATCTGGACTGCTTGGGAGAAGTGCCATTCACGGCTGAGCTGGCGTCAGGGACCATGGACAGTGCCCACAGGAGCCCAGCCTGCTGTGACCACCCTGGGTTAAAGGACTGCCTGCCTGCTACACTTGCTGTGAGATTCGGGCAGCATCCCGCATGCCCCTGACCCTCACGTTCCTCCCTCTGCTCTTTGTGATTGGAGTGACTCCCATGATGGGTGTGGGTAGGAGGGTTCAGGAAGGACACACAGTGACTATTGGATGAATGTCAAAATAAGTCCATGGAGAGCGGGACCTGCTGCGCGTGCTGGACCGGCAGCTCAGCCAGGGGCCTGGTTATCCTGACATTGCCAGACTACCTTGATGGCAGCAATTGATTCCACAGTGACCAGGCAGTGGCCGACTTTGTGTGTGTGTGCATGTGTGTGTGCATGCACGTGCACACGTGTGCAAATCAGTTCATGAGCTTCCCCTCTAGGACATGGAGACTGTCTAGAAACTTGTCTTTGGGCTGGAGAGAAGAAGAGTGATTCTGTCTCTGCTGCCTCCTTTGTGCTCTGCTGCAAAGGGGCCAAGTGGCTGAAGCCATCAAGCCCAGAACACGAGGGGCAGATGAGCAGTGGGTGCCTCTTCCTTCTCAAGGGGGTGTAACTTAGGGTCTGCAGCTCTGGGTTGAGTCCCTGGTGTCATAGACTAGCAGAACCTGTGCCACCAGGTCATGTTTTCTTACTTGCAAATGTCATCTATGTGCTCCCCACCCCTACAGTGGCCACACCTGCATTCGAGTCCCACTGTGGATCTATAAAACTTCCTGGCCAGGCTCTTGGTCAGGGACCTGAGGCACAGGTGGTAGATAAGACAGAGAAGACTTTCCTGCTCTCCAAAGATTATTGCCCTCACTCGTTCCTCCTCTCCTGAGATGCTTACAGAGCCCCGTGTGTGCAGTCACCACGGCAGCGAAGGGACAGCCACGGAAAGTGTCCCCGTGTGTGCAGCCACCACGGCAGTGCAGGGACAGCCATGGACAGTGTCCCTGTGTGTCTAGCATCAGTGGGGATGCCTAGCCAGGCTTTGGGGCCAGACCCCATGGGGCACCTGGTGATACAGTGGTGTCCTCAGAACCATCCCTGGTCATTTTACAACAGTGGAGCTAAACATGGTGGAAACACATAGAAATGTGCTTCTGAGGTCCCAAGGCCACTAGTTCTGGGCACATCTGGGTGCTCTGCTGACATCTGTTATGGACTTTGGGGGGCTAAGGACCCTCAGTGGATTCTGCAGTTTGAACTCTTGCAAGCAGGGGGACCTTGGGTAACCTCTTGGTGCATCCTATGACTCAAGAGTGGTAGCCCCATAGCCTAGCCCAATGGCAAGGATGGCTCCCTGCCGGAGTCCAATTGATCCCCTTCCCTGGAGGTTTTGCTCTGAGGCCAGAATGTCATTTTTTCACCACAAAACCCTCTTTCTTGTAATTACCAAGAATTACTTACAAGGCGCGTGCGCACGTGCTCTTATTGATTGCCACCCTGAGAAGATCAGGAATCATTTCAAGTAGATTAAACGAACTTTCTTTTGCCTTTTGGGAAGTTGGACTCGGAGTTATTTAAGGAGATTAATCAACTCTTAAGAGCTCCAGACAGCTGCCCTACCTCTTGAGCAAGCCGGGGACATGTCATCTTCCCCTGCCTTCAGATGCCTTTCCTCATTCCCTCCCACGCTTCTGCACTCCCACCCTCCTGGCAGTCTCTAGGATGCCCTTCTAGAGAGCAGGCAGCAACACCTCTGGCTGCCGTCAGTTTCCCTGGGCAGCCCAGTCGCCCAGTTCCCAGGCTGGACACCACCTCAGAGAGCGCTGTGTCACTGCAGGGAGGCTTTCCATCCAAACCCTTCCCTCCACAGCTGTCACATAGGGTGACCCTGTTTGCTCAAAGGCAGTCCTTGGCTTTCAATGCATTTGGCCACATGGATTCTACGCGTGCCACTCCTGTCAGCCACCATTCTGAACTCCAAGGTTCAGAGCAGTTCCACAGCCTTCCACCCAGGAAGCCTGTGCTGCATCATTATACTGGGAGTGCTGGTCCCACCTAGGGAAAGAGGGATGGGAGACAGGGAGGACAAAAGG